TTCATTTGGTATCATTATGTATTTGATTGCTACTGGTGAACCACCATTTAGAGATTGGTCGTTTGACAAATGTTTGGTGATGCGTGTTTGTGAGGGACTACGACCGTCGATGCCTGATTCTGCGCCAGATGAATACAAGAAACTTGCCGAGCGGTGTTGTGATGCTGATCCTGATAAGCGTCCTGATGCAAGGACACTTTGGGACATTATTTACAGGCTTTTGGAAAATGTGAAAAATGGTGACAACGAATGGAATACTATTTATCATACTGATGTAAAGCCATTATCACGTCTCGAGAAAGAGAGTAAATATTCCAGCACACTCTTACCTACTGGAGCTTTACCTAAACCAAGAAATGGCTATGATTCAGCTGCAGGTATGGATACTTGTTGATACAAATAAGTCAACTTACAATGTTAACACTAAGCTTTTCTTGTATTTAGAGACTCAACCTCTTTTTGAAGACTTTTAATTCAGCGGGCTTATTTACGATATTCAAGCTTTATCCGATAGTAATAACAATTAAATAAATTAAATATGATATGCTTTCTACGTCTTACATATACCCCGATAAAGTACGGTTTAATACAACTTTATTTCCAAGCTATTCCGGCAAAGTACCAAAAAGTATCAGTGGTGTTTTTCGATCACGTTAGTCACTATAATTTTTGAAGCATTTTTTGAAAAGGGTTATTGATATATTTCGTTCCGTTATTATTTTAAAGGTACGGTTTAATAATTACAGTATCGATGTCACATACACTCACCGGGAAAAAGTGTTGAACCCTTTTTTTCAAAGCCCTATCATACGTATTTACTATGTGGTCACAATGATTTATGTACCTATATGAAGATAACTGGTTATACTTTTCGAGAATATATCAATCCTGAAGCGGCAGTATCTACAGTCAACCCTCTCTAAATGCACACCCTTACGAATGAGCTGGAACGTTCATTTAGAGAGGAATGAATTCACAATATTTTAAAGCAAAAAAAGACGACGTCTTCCCACGTACGCAAATCCACCCCAAGCAAAATTTTATTCGATCTTTAGGAAGACAACGATTGGCCTCTTTTCTTTTCACCGACTTACTGCGTTCCGGAACAGCTGGAAGACAAGTTGTATCAGAAAATACGTATTCTCCAGCGGTCATGAAGATGTTTTCTAGTCTACTCTACCCGACTTCTTTTTGCATTATCTAACTTAGCCAAATGTCGTGATGCTGTCATGTGTGGCACGCCTGTGTTATTTTCTAGCCAATGTTCGGGTAGACCGCATTGGATTACGACGTAGATATTGTCTGATTGCTTTAGACGCCTTGGAGTTGATTTTTTGAGGACGTCTACTTTCCCTTTTTTTGTCGTTATGTCTTTTTGTATTTAATTTTTTAATTTCTGTAAATAATACGATGGGAATATTTGTTAATTTTTGTATTTTATTTACATTGGTTGTGTCTTGTGTCCACAAAAGTAATATAGCTTGGCGTTGTCTTTCTTGTGTCGATAATGGCATTTCTGTAATTTTTTTTCCGAAAAATACAGATAAAGTCTGTTAAGAATCTGTTTAGAATGGGTTAGAAAGCACTATTTATTTATAAAAACGCGTTGTGGATTGTTTACAAACCATGGCGTTTTACGCTATGTTATTTAAAATTAGTAAAAAATTGTATCATTTTTTTTGTTACACACTGTAAAAATTATGTGGCTCGTCTGTTATCTTAAGTGGAATAAATGAATGTCTGTATAAATAGGTAGTGTACGCCATATGTCCTAACATGAATACCAATCAAATGGAATTATTCCAAATAAGTATGAGTTTGTTTGTAATTGATATTTCTTAATAAACTTATCGAGTTGTTTATTAATTGCTAGCCCATTCATCGACTAATTGTTTATGTTCCGCATATGCACCACACGGGACTACATCGAAGTACTATCGAGAATAACAATAATAAATATTTTAATAAAGGTTTTTTTACGTAATGAAATTATGTTAAGACTTGCTTGACCAGCGCAATGATGGACTATCTCACTTTATATACAAAAACGCTACTTTGGATTATAAATTGTTTTAGTACATGACGATTGCTCCTTGTTGTATGTGTATCGTGTTTGTCTTGTCAATTTCTACTGGTAATACGTTTTCAAGGATACGGTTAATTTGATGTTAGTTAGAAACATTTTCCCGATCTAATTTCTTACTCGTTGCGATCTTGTGAGAAACAATGTCGTATTAATACGTAGATCATATTGTGTCAAGTCTCTTACGGCAAAATATTTTCAAATGCTTGGCCATATAAATGTAACAGAGATTGTGTTGTCGTGAAAAGCTAATGCTTGATAACTAAGTATATGGTGGAGCCGCTAATATTTGAGCGGCAATGCCTGTAATGTTTAGGAGAAGGTAGAAGGCAGTGCCTTTATAATGTTGCAACGAATATAAATATATAACATAAATAAGAATTACAATATTTTTATTCTTAATTTTGTTATATATCACCGGAAAGTTACATTCCAGGCATGCACCTGGAAAATGCTTAACATCCGGTATCACTATACATTGTAGCGTAAATATTATCATGTTAATAACGGTTAGTTTCAGCCTCAATATCAATATTAATCTTTTCACTATAATGCTAAAATTATATTTTCGTCAAGAGTATCCGATTTTACTATCGCACTCTATGGCACCAATACTCTACTAGTACTTTGGTGCAGTCAATAAACAATAGATTTGCAATAAATTCTGTTGTGCGAGTATCAACCTTCGAACAAATCTATTATTTATTACTACAAACGTAAATATAAAGTTTTATTACTGTAACTAAACGGTTTTTGCGTTAGCTTATATATTATAATGAAATTATTGATAAAATGAATACTCGGTTACTTGTCTTATTAGTCGTCAATTTAGCGATTAGTATTAATAACAGTCGAATACTTCTCATGCACTGCTCCTGTATTCCATCAAAGCATCGATATCGAAATAAAAAGCAAACAATAAGAATTAACAACATTGTTTTACTTTTTCGTCTGGGGAAGGTTGTATATCTACCGTTTGAATTCATTACTATTGTAATCTATTTTCTCCTAGACGTTTACTCGCAAACTATCACTAATTAAAATTAATACAAGCAATACAAATAAACATTTCCCATCCAAAATACATGAGAGTAAGTAGACTGTTGAGACAATTAGCATAATAAAAACGAAATGGCTATTTACAATCATAAGTTGGTGATTTCGCAAGTGGTCTTTTTTTTTTCCTGAAAATTTGGCATCATTGGTTTAAAAAGCATGTGGTGCAATTTTTTTTTAGAATGCTTCCAACTGTGCTATATTTTTCGGTTTCATGATAAATTGGTTTTATTTAACATATTAATGTTGTAATATTTAACAAACAAATAAACTTGCCGTGTTTACATATCAGATTGTGTAACGCGCCGTGCGGTTATACATTGTAATAACTTTGAGTAAAAGCAGTTAAACAAAACCAACATCGATAAAAGACATATCGAACTTTGTTATAAGAGACTGTTATTATATTGGTCAAGTTTGATCATACGGTTGGGAAACGGGCTGTTTATTGATCGACGGCTTGCATCGAGAGGAACATTAAAAACATCTATGTTTATTACTAATATTAATATCCTCCACATTTGCAACACCGTAAAAGTGCGTTTCTAGTTTTCACTTCATCACGGTACATGCCGGACATTACTTCCATTTTAAGAGATCAGCGAGCATCCTCATACCCAGCACGTGCATAGATTGTGTGGAATATTTTTAACTCTTCTGTGATTCGACTTTCTATCCCACGTGATCCTATCGCTGACGACAAAACGAAGTCTTTTGCGTTCATTGCAATAGGCCCTGATATACCGGGTCTCTGTCATTATGGTGTATTTTGTAGTTTATAAACTTATTGATCGATGTGATGATATAATACTTCCGATTCCGATATTACGAACATCAATTTTAAGGCTTAATTTCGGATGTTGCACCCGTTCCGGAGGATTTAGAGTTCCTTTAACAAGCAACCAATGAGAACAGTATTTTCTCCAAATAGCCTTTTTTCTTTTTATGCCTGGATCAACGGTTTAAGTGACTGAATATCACAACAAAAACATTTTGGAATATGGTCTATAGTAATATCATAATAGAGGAGAAGAAGAAACCTTTACAAACCATATAATCATAATCATAATAATAATCATAATAATAACCCTCCTCCTTCGTTACATATACATTGTACATTATAATAATATAATATTAATTCTCCCATGTCCCGCGTACAAATCCTCCTAAAAAAAATCTTCTCCTCACGCAAACAGAAACACAAAGAGAAACACAGAGAGAAACACAGAGAGAAACACAAAGAGAAACACAAAGAGAAACACAAAGCTTCTCGCGTTCCAAAGGTTAAAAATTATCGCTCATTACCCAACCTCCACCAGAACACTCTTTCTACTGATTTAGAACCGTCACCAGAACTCTGTCCTTTTTGTCAAAAACCACAAAAACGCCCAAAGTGGTGTGAGCAATGTCAGGAATTCCCTCCTCCCCTTATTGAAAGCGACGCCGATTGTGAATCCACCTCACAAAGTCAACCAGCCCAGGGAAACGCATCGAACGAGATACCATATGGCATATGTCGCAAGTGTTTTTATCCCAAAACATCACAGTGGTGGTGTAAGTTTTGTGAATCAGTGGCTTTTCGAATTGAATTTGGTAAATGGAGCAGCGGAAACAAGGTTATCAATGCAATGATTAGAAAAAGTCAATTGAACGCCGTGGATGAACTGAACTATCTGGAATGGATCAACTATGACGAATTTGAAGACGTCCAGTTGGTCGCTGAAGGCGTACTGGGAAAACTGTACACTGCGATTTGGAAAACTGGTCCAAGAATAAAATATAATCAGGATCTCGGAGAGTGGGTGAGAGATAATGATATAACGATTGCGCTGAAGGAGCTAAATGGTTCGACAAACATGACAGATGATTATATTAGAAAAGTAAGTGAAGGATCGGAAGGGGGGTGGGGTTAATTGCGAGGGGAGGTTTCGTGTGCTATTACTAGCTTTTAGTTCGCTATCAATGCAATGGTTTCTAATTTGATTCTGCGACTGGTCGCTAACAAACTCTGTTTACCAGATCGACAAATACGCAAGTTGTAATACCACTGGGTCAAACGTCCTTCAATGCTTTGGGTTAACCTTTAATCCCGTAACCAAAAATTACTTGTTAATAATAGACTATTGCGAGCATGGCAATTTAAATCAGTATCTTCACAAACACCACGCAGACATCACTTGGGAACGTAGACTAGCCATATTGCATTCCTTATCGGCAACAATATTCAATCTCCACGAACGAAATATATTTCATCAAAATCTCCATGGCGGTAATATACTGATGGGACTGGGACCACCTATGATTGCTGATGTAGGGCTATGTATTCCGGCATACGAACATTCAGATACAAAAAATGTCTATGGAGTATTACCTTTTGTTGCACCTGAAGTATTACGAGGAAACGCATACACAGCAGCAGCAGACGTTTATAGTTTAGGAATGCTAATGTGGCAACTAGCATCGGGCAGACGACCATTTCATGATCGAGCACATGATATGCATCTAGCAATGGACATTCGCAACCGAATAAGACCCAAGGCCATAAACGGGATACCGGAATGTTATCAAGAGTTTATGGAAAGATGCTGGAATGATGATCCCAGGGAAAGACCAACTTCATCTGAAGTATATTCTATAGTTGGCATTTGGTTTAACCAGATGATGTTTGTTCCCGGAAGCGAAATTGGGAAACAGTTTTGGGAAGCGGAAGATTTCAGGAAATACCATAATGTGAGCGAGGGTATGAACGATGATAAACATCCGAAAGCAAGCTATTCTAGCAGATTATTGAACTTTCCCGAGGTATTCTATGACGACTTTAAAATTAATGGGACTAACAGCGAGCGAACCAGGATCGGTGAGTACCCTACCCCATTTCGACTGACCGTCACTATGTGTGTGTTAATGGCACGTTGTGAACTCTGCATTATTGACACTACATATTATTATTGATAATAGAAGAGGACCTGAAGAATTCGACTAATGGGCATGACAATGGAACGTGCCGCACAGGAGTAGGTCAGTACCGACGGATGCAATGTGACTGCGTATTTGAGACTATTAATATTTACCCGATACTTGTTTTCATTGTTTTAGTTGCTGACGAAAAAAGTATCAACGAGGAAGAAGAGCAAGGCGTGCTCGTAACGCCCGTCGATAGCAAGAAATATCGTGAGGAAGAGCAAAAGCAAGAGCAAGTGCAAGACGTGCTCGTAATGCTCGTCGATAGTAATAAACATGTTGAAGAGCAAGAGCATGAGCAACAGAAAGATTTGCCCGCAACGCCCATCGATAGCAAGAAATATCGCGAGGAAGAGCAAGAGCAAGAGCAAGACGTGCCTGCAATGCCCATCAATAGCAAGAAATATAGTGAGGAAGAGCAAGACGTGCCCACACCGCTCATCGATAACAAGAAATATCGTAAGGAAGAGCAAGACGTGCCCGCAACACCCATCAATAACAACAAATATCGTTATAGTATCGATTTTTATTATGGGCATGATTATGATTAGATTAATTCGAACATTGTTTTGCTTCTCGTGATCAACCACTGCCGTTGTTGCAGTATTTGATTCTTGATTTGGTGGAGATTGTGTATTCATTTGTTTTGCGTGAAGCGGGGAGAGAGTTTTTGCGATTACGTGTTATATTATATATATTTGGTGGAAGGGGGTGATAGTATTAATACTGTATTTGATATTTGATATTCGATTTATCATGTGATTATATTGTTACACGTGCTGAAATTGGGACGCTGCGATCAAAGCGTGTATATATATTGAATTTACTGTACCTTTACTATTATTATTATTACTACTATTACTATTACCGTGACTCGATATTTTAATACTCATTGTTATTATAATAATAATTAATGTTGACATTACAGCGTTGCTGCAGCAACATTTAATAACAATGCCTTTATTATTCATTTTATTACTGCCAACATTAAACATTACTTAAATATTAAATACTAATTACATACCCATCACACGTCCTCGTTATTTGAATACTTTCACTTTATATTCGTTTTTTAGACTCGGTTTTTAAAAACACAGAATGTACAATTTTATGATAAACGAAAATAACATGTAAACTAAAAATTCTACAAACTAATATGTTAAGTAAAGCAGATAGCAGAGTAACAATTGATGGATGCAATCCAGAGTGCTGACTTGATTTCGTCAGAGATATCTTTGACAGAGTCTTTTTTTTGTCATGTCTGAGTAATTATGGATCGTACGTTCGTTGACGCACTTTGAGCGAAACAAGTCCATTCCCAAGTAAATATGTATATGTTATACACCTATCCCTTTACATATATATATCCTTTCTATGTCAGTCTATGTCGCTATATGTCATCCTTATCGATTGATTTTTTCTACCTCTTTTTTTTTTTTAAAAAAAATAATCCCACACACCGGTCCCTTTTAATGAATAATATACGGGTTTTTCATCTCTTTTAGACGCCTCCCCCTGCCGGAAAGAGTTACTCAATTATCTCTTCGTACAAAACTCTGATGTGCATGCTCTAAATGATACTTCAATCCGTTTGGGTTTTTGTATCTTTTGTCACAGTCAGGAAATTCGCATTTGTATGGCTTGAGCACCGGCCTCTTTTCATCGATATCCAATAGACCAGAACGATGTCCGTGTTCGTTATGATACTTTAAACCATTTAGATTCTTGTATGATTTGGAACAACCGGGTACGGTACATTTGAATGGTTTCTCGACGACTGGTTGCGTGCTCAACTGGGTAGCACTTTTGGTTATGTGTTGGGTCTTTTCTTTGAAAGCGGACTGGCTAGACGGAGAGACTACGGTGTGGTCTGTTGAATAGTTATGTAGCTGAGGTGAGGCTGGAGGTTGATAACAGGTGAGTTTTGCTTCGTGGTTGTGGTGATCATACTTGTTGTAACCTTTCATTGCTCAAGAGTTATGTAGTTCGCGAAAGAGGGAAAGAGGGGGTTTAAGTGTTTGGGGGTGTATGTGGGCGTTGGGGCTTTTGAGTTGGGACTAGAGTGGGAAAAGGGAATAAAGAAGAAAGAACGTTATAAATGGATGGGATGGGGGATGGGGGTATGCCGTCTGATGGGGGTTGGTAGCAAATAACACCGGTTGAGCTATGGTTAATGATTGGATTTTCGATAAAGTTGGCTTTTTTTTTTTTCTCCTTTTTTTTTTTTCCCTCTACTTGTGTTACGATAGCCATATATGGTAATTGTATATATTTTGGGCTCAGTCATATTTATTGTCACGGCTGATGGGGAAATGCAGTTAGGCAGTCAGTTTATGCAATAGTTTTTCTGTTGCATATTTTTTTTTTATATATCGTAAAAATCGTAACACGCAACTTTAATCAATCTGTGTGACCTCCGCAACAAAAAGTCAACAACGAAAATCCGTACAACAGCAAAAAAATTTTTTGCGACAAAAAAAAATTTTTTTTTGTGTCTCAATTGGTCGAGTTGCATAGAATGAGTATGGAGACATGGATTAATCATCAAACATTTCTTAATGGTATTATTCATAATCGAAATTAGAACAATATCTCGACTATTCTCGGTTGTCATGATTACATCACGTTGCATTATTATTTGCAAGTCACGTTACTCTGCCTTTTTACGGATTGTTCTGGTTACTCAGTCACTTACGTACACGTAAACGCCACAGTCGGTTTGTGAAAATAAAAGTTGACAATACGAAAAGCCCATTGCCATAATATTATTTCCTTTGGTCAAATGTTCTTGTGAATTTCAATGTTGAGTAAAAAACAGTTTGCCATCTGAGAGCAGGTTGGAGTGTCGATGATAAACAACATAGAATAGATAATTTTATGAATACAAACCGAGACTATTTTGTGACAAACTTGCGTATTTTCTACGCAATCTGTCAGCGTTGCCACTTCATTATTTGGTATGCAACTATTTAATAGCTGCACAGTATGTGAGAATGTCAACTGATAAAGCTATGATACAGCGCTAAAAATATGTTTGATGCAGTGTTGGTGGTGTGTTAAGTGATGCTAATTATTAAAAATTTTTAAGCATTTTAATGGTTGGAAAGCCATCGCTCATGTTAACGAATAATCTGTTTACAAAACATACAAAGATATAATGCATGCAAAAATCGCGTTATATCAACAGCCTGATAACATCAAAGCGAATTCGCTTTTTAAAAGCGACTCAAGACAGTGCTTACAACAATGAGGTCTTTATTCGTTTATTCATATCACTTTCGACAGTAAATATCGTTTAATTAAAGCGAGCACGGTACAAGCCCTGTTTTTTGCACTTTAACAACAATTGTTTAAATTACAATAAGCAAACTATATGATAACAATATCAAGCTTTGAATTTATTAACATGACATTTATTCACTATAATACTGTTCCGTTGAACATTAAACTAAATATTAAAATTTTTAGCTTTCAAGTAAAATCCTGCTTTGTGAGAATATGAGAAACATTGCATGTTTCGTGATTAAAGGTTTGGTAGTAGAATAAGTCTCAGAATAGCTTTTGTATTTATTTTACGTAAACGAAAACTGTTAAAGGTACGTATACACAAGCTATGAAGCATACTGTAAATATTTATAGAATTCGTGATTTATAGTTAAAAATTTAAAAGTCTCGTATCGTTGTAATACGCCGGCGGCGAGTTTTGTAATAAATTTTATGTTTTTCATTAGGTTGATACTAAAGTAAATTATGCGAATGTATGTAACAATAAATACATTTATAAAGAAATTGTTATTGCAATATTACCATGTCGCATTCAGAATGACCTCTCGATTTTTTATTGCGATTGGCTCCAAGCCACAGATTTTGGTGTTACATGCGTGAAGAGACGTTCTCGTTGCATTTCCATCATGTTCAGACGTGTTGCTGATTGCCTGAATAACAAGCTTTCAAAAAGACTTGTCATAAACTCATGCTTCTCAACCGTAATATCGCCGAAACAACACGATACGATCTTTGCCTTATCATCTGGATCAGGAAAAGCGGGAATTGCCGTCATCAGAGTATCAGGGCCAAAGGCTGGAGAAGTAATTAACAATGATTTTATCAGCATTTGTTATCATAGTTTATAACCAAGCCTCCTGTGTAGGCTATAAGGAAAATGACATTGGCCAAGGAGCTGGCGCCGCGGAGAGCCATATTTCACACGATCTATCATCCTATTAATAATGAAATGCTAGATCACGGCCTTACTTTATGGTTTCCAGGTTTGTGTTTGTGTATGCATTTGTCTCTATACTGTCTTTACAATGAAATTCTTCAAGTTTACGTATTTGGATATAGGACCGCGTAGTTACACCGGTGAAGATGTGGCAGAATTTCATGTTCATGGGGGATCAGCAGTTATCAAAGGCGTTTTCGACGCACTCGGATCTCTTGAAGGATTCAGACACGCAGCCAAAGGAGAATTTACCAGGAGGTAATATCAAATCAGTATCGAAATCACAAAAGCTTATGCCTAATGCCAACACTTCACCGCGCTGATCTATAATCAGCATTTGTTAAATAATTAGAGCGTTCGACAATGACAAGCTCGATCTCACCGAAATAGAAGGGTTGGCTGATCTAATTAATGCAGAAACTGAGGCACAAAAACGGTTAGCCTTACAGCAAGCACAGGTAGGCGAGATAAACATGCACATAAAAAGTGCTTTCTCATTTCCGACGCAAGGCAATGTTGGAAACAAACATAAAGTTTGTTCTGTTTACGCGTCCGGGGCTTTAGGGAGGATTAAAAAAGCTATATTCTGGATGGCGCAAAGAACTAGTTCAGAACATGGCGCTTACCGAGGCAATTATTGATTTTGGTGAGGATGAACATCTTGAAGAAGGAATCATGGATCAAGGTAATTGCGAGAGTCTAACATCTACTGCTGATATATATACACGCCCTAAACTCACATTCATCAAAGTCACAAGAAGTACGCACAAGATTGCAGAATCAATCAGAAACCATATGCATGACTACAGACGAGGAGAAATATTACGCAATGGAATACATGTGGCGATTATGGGACCTCCCAATGCCGGCAAGAGCAGCTTTTTGAATTACTTGAGTATGTAATAACGTGAGCAGTAGACCAGTTGCTCTGTCGTTTTTATGTATTGGGCATCAAATCTCTTCTTTTTACCCGTCGTCTTTTTATTTTAGCTTGTCGAGAGGCAGCCATAGTATCACCGGTTCCTGGGACGACCCGTGACGTCGTGGAAGTGTCGGTGAACATTGGTGGCTACCCGTTAATACTAGGAGATACAGCCGGTCTGAGAGAAACGACTGATTCAGTCGAGAGCATAGGAATAGAAAGAGCCAAGAAGAGGTACAAAGAGTCATCTATAGATTGTATCATTCGATATAATTTGATAATGATTGATACGCTGTCTTTTTTTACAGATTACAGTCAGCCGACATTAAAATATGCGTGATATCCGCTGCCGACCTTCAGCCGACAATGCTAGATCCAGTCATTGCCTCATATATCGATTCAGACACCATTTTGCTCCTCAACAAGATAGACCTCGTCCCAGGTCTCTGCTCAATTACAAAAGACGTAAAGTTCAACGCCAAACTAGCTTGTAACATTTCCTGCAAAACAGGAGAAGGGATTAGAGATTTTCTAGACGCATTTGTGAATGTAATTAAAGAAAAGTGAGTAAAATAACCCCGGTCAATTTTGTAGCAAGCGTCAATTGGCTCACGTTGTTTTCTATCTAATTGCATGCTAGATTTGACACTGTATCCTCAGAAACACCCGTGATCACACAGTCGAGACATAGAGAGCATCTACAAGAGTGTCTTGAAGGGTTGGAGCGGTTTGCAGGTAAGGAAAAACGACAGTCATTTTGCATGTCAATATAATTGACATAACGAGTAGTATGTTGACTTTAGAGCAAGACGATGTTGTATTACGCGCTGAAGAATTGCGTTATGCTGCAAACGCTGTTGGGAAAATCACTGGTCAAGTGAACGTAGAGGAAGTGCTTGATGCTATATTTGAGCGTTTTTGCATTGGAAAATGAATGGGGGTGATGGAACTTGGGTGACAAATACAATTGTTCGGATGTTCATTTTGTCTGACAAAAAAAATAGATCGCGCCCGCCAGAGAGAGTTGACTGCTCTCTTGACAATGAATTCTATTATAAAGCTACGTTCGAATTGACATGGATCGGCCTTTTAAATAAACAGATTGATAGATACAACAACGATCGTTTTTTTCATTTTCTCTTGCCAAGTTTTTTCTTTAATCGTTTCATCTTCTTGGCCGAATACACTGCGGCTAGATGTTCAAGACGTTCCTTCTCTTCCTGAGCCTTTTTCTTCTTTAAAATGGCCTCTCTCCTTTGTTGCCTTTTTGCTTCTTCTCTGTCTTTGATCTCTTTTTCTATCAGCTTGAGAGCTTCACGTTCTTTGCGCTCTTGAACACGCAGATCCCAGGTCTTACGGAGGGATTTTGACATTTGAGTACGTCGAGTTGCAAGCTTGGGGTGTTTCCATATTTTGCCTATCGGAGGCATGTGATTGAATTAAAAGTCATTGTAGAGAAAAAAGACTCTCTTGCTAACTTTTGCCCCACGCTCTCATTATTTTACCTGATACTCTCCGCGCTATGACAGGTGGTTGCTTTAATGACTGTGTTGCAAAAAGGTTCACATCCGAGATATCAGTAGATGACATTCTAATAATATAGTTTCAATCCTTTTCGGGGCCAGGAAGGTTTTTGAAAATAAGCTTGTGATCAAGATCACATGACATAAATATTTAATTTCTCAGGGGCTTGTTCTGTTCTTATGCATTTCAAACCTTACTCAATCCTAAATGTACTACTATTAACATCGGACGAGACTCTGCGAGTCTAATGCTTGCACAATCCGAACACTTATTTAACATCATATCCAACTTTTTCCCTAAAGTGTCGCCTTGATTGAATGCCTGATCAAATAATTCTTTCGACTCTTCGCCTTAATCATACCTTTCCCTCCCCTGCTCTCAAATCCAAATGGCGAGATCGAATAACCCCAGCTGAACTAATTAGCCTCAATTTGACACCAAAAGAAATTACAAGGCAAGAATTAATAAATGAACTGATTGTAACAGAAGCCGACTACCTCGCTGATCTAAAGTTTGTACATCGAGTAAGTAAAAAATGCAATGAAAAAATTAAGAGTTGGGAATGGTTGGGAATGGTTGCATGGCATGTCGAGCAACTGGAATTCACCTCGAATTCTCGAGATCGGGTGTAGGATCCAAGAGTTCAAAATAGTCTCTTTGTTTTGATGGTATTTGCATCACTGAGCCCAACCAAACTTTTTTATAGTCGTTCTGCAAGCAGGCTCTTCAAAAAGGAATAAGACCGTGCGAACAATTGGTACGCCTATTCAGCAATATCGAAGATATGATAAGATTACATGACAACATTCTTATGGTGAGAGGAATAATTTCCGTTTTTATAACAAGTGAGATGATTAAGAGGAAAACGGGGGCTTGGCACTGAAAGAAAGAAGCGTTGTTGGCGCAGAGATAAGATAATGCTAATGTGAATGATTGCAATCTCGATTCCGTTTCTTTGGTTGTCAGTGTTTGCAGTCTCGTCAAATGAAACAGCAACCATGCATCACAGCTGTATCGGATGTACTTTTACCATTTGTAAGTAAAGGCTAAATGAAATATTGATAATGCTGAATCGAGCATCTATTCACAGAGTATGATTTACATACAGGTTGATCGGTTCGATATCTATGAATCATATTTGGTGAATTATACGACAGCAACGCAACAGCTCGAAAAGGCAGTTAACGAAGAGAGTGAATATGGAAATTTTGTAAAAGTGAGGGGTCTAGATTACAAATACTATTAGTCGGAAAGCCCAAACCCATCAAAAAAATTAACATATCATATTGAACATGTGTCTAGCAACAAGAACAATTGCCCATTTGCAGAAAGTTGCCGTTGCAAGCTTTTCTTATAGCACCTGTCCAAAGATTGGCAAAGTATCCTTTACTATTTAAGGTAAAACGGAGAGTAGGGGATGCTGCTATATTGTGCCATCATAAGAGGTGTTATTATAGTGCTAGTGTTAACATGGACACTTTATTTTGTTACAGAGTTTACTCGATGCGACACCGCAACTCAGTTCGGATTTTTGTCCGACGCACAAACTTTACAAGGGCATGGATGCATTCATTCGCAAAATCGAGGACGCTAAACGGAAAGAAGAGAGTCACGGACGTGTTATTGAACTCCAGAGTCTAATCAAGATACCTCTTGTAAGATGGAGCAAATTGGTTTTTCTGCGATAATGACTTGGTTTCTTAACCGTTCTTGTTCACATGATCATGCTGTCTAGAGTTTTAACCTGCTCAAACCCGGAAGAGAGCTCATAAATGAGGGTTATTTATGCGGAGTGATTATTCCTGAATCACCAGGAGCCTATAGTCCCGAACAAAATGCCGAGCCACAGAAAATCCGACTTTATGTATTCCTATTCTCAGACATTGTTTTATGGACGCGTGAAAAGAATGGACAGTACAAATTAATAATCCCGCCGGCAAGAATCACGAACGTTTCTGAAAATTCGGGTATGGGTCTATACTCATTGACTTTTGCTAGGCCTGATTTGTCCGTATGGGTTGGTTGGGCTGGCACTCTAATAGTCTCTAATGCTATAATACCGTTTTTTTTTTCTTTCTACAGACGGTTTGTTTGAAGTTACGTCTGTGCATACGGGAAAGACTACGTTTCTGCTCTCTGCACCGAATGTAAAGGACAAGACTGTGTGGATAAAATCGTTACGCAGTGTCTTGAGACGACATACAAATCGTGGAAATGACGAAAGGTTGGATGAATGGTGGTTTTATTCTGGTGTAAGAGAAGAGAAGAGAAGGATGGGTGAGATACAGATAGACAAGTATAATGAATGCTTGTTAAAGTAGACAAAGCTTTCAATCTGAAACATTTAAATTAATAGTTCACATTGATTTGTATATAACTTAATATTTTTCTTGACCGAACAAGATTGCATTCCTGATTCAATTGCATACCCAAGTTTTGGCTAATAAAGGACGCTGTTTCGGTGGTTGCGACATTCCGTTATTGGGCAGTGTAAACATGCGCAAGAATCAGTGCTTGACTATTAACGCTCTGGACAGCCGTGCGGCCTTAAAACGTTGCTGTAATCACAACATTGACATCCGCTTACTACAAAATTCTACAGCATTACGGAAGAATTATATGGGCGTTTTCTTCTGGAGCACGAGCTGACGTTAGATTGGTCCGGATTTATTAATTTTACTACTATTTGTCTTTCGGCAACATGGGGTTTTCTTTTCCTTTCTTTTCTTTTTTTTCAACTATTCAACGATGGCCACTTGAATCGCTGAGTAAACGCATGCTCGATTGGATCTTCGGTCACAACGTTTTTTAATACGTGAAATACTTCATAATCCTCCACTTTAAAATGCCATCTACTCTTTGGTTCCGCCGCGTCGCGCTTCAGCAAGTCACACTTGTAAAACATGTGTTGATACCAACTATCCGAGTTTGAATTACAATTGTCAGACGTCATCAAATCGTCGTAAAAGTATGGACCCCAACCAGGACCGCACCCAATGGCTTGATTACCCATGTGCACCCTAGACAGCTGTGGTGCAATACTGTCGTTTCTAGCAACATTGAAGGAGAATATAAAGGTCTCGTTAGAATATTGGTATGTCTGGTTACTATTGTAATACTGACTAGCTGCTAAAATATAATTGTTCCATGTGTTGGGATTAAATCCGCCTAGTATAATTCCGCTATTGCCACTTGGCTTGATCAACACAATCGTCCCAGGACTATTATCGCATTTTTCGTGAAAACTTTGTGCCGAGAATCCATCTCTAGAACCCCTATACAACAGCTTGTATCGATGTTTTGATGTCTCTGGTACTTCATAAGAGTTACTCCCATCGATCCATTCGGATATCAATGCGGCATGCGCATGAGTGATAAGCGTAGATGTTATAATGGATGACGATTCACGAGGACCAGTGGATGGTTGTGTCGAGTCCGGTTTAAGGTAATGATGCAATAGCTGTTCTTTGAGGTCCTTGGGAAGTATCTTTTTATATGGCCGCACTTTATCGTAATAATCTTGAGATGATATATCAAAGAATCTGATCTTGGGGAGTAAATTGTGAAGAACTCTTTCTAATTCAGCAAAATCATCACGAGACCACTCAGACTTGTTCTTAGTGTTCAAATTCCGTACCCTCGACGTTCCCCATCTTATCACTTGTAGCCACACATCGACCTCTTCCATTCCCATATCATCGCGCTCAATCAATTCACCGAAAATAGATTCATCTAGCCTTGACAATTTATCGGAATAAAACACCGACGCTGGATTCTCGACGACTTTCTGCAGGCAAAAGTTTTTCAACTTTCCAAGTGAGTGATAACGGGAGACAAACTGAAGGATATCCATCAGATTAGCCGTCAGCCATCCGGCACAATGAGTGATCAAATGATCTTGACAAAAAGTAACTAGTGATTGCAAGTCTAGTTTTTCAGCGAAAGTAAGCAATTGAAGTGCGTCCGAATCACGTTGTGTCGAAAGGTCTATTAGTCCAGCGTACATGTATCTTTATGATCATGAAAGAGCCAGTCAGTTGCGCAGTTGGGAAATACAACTAAAACTGATCGATGCTGTCACATAGTCAGACCTTAATAATGTCTCAAAGATTTTTGGTGTCATATCCGGTATCGCAATTACGTAGCACCCGTCCTCCTTCCTGGTTCTATCCTTTGTCAGATTTGTTCTAAAGTATCCTGACCTTGCTCTGAGTATGTTTGCGTGTGCGTGAAACTCTTTGAAATCGGGAGTTTTTCCCACCTTGACGATAACGTCGTAACCATCTTCGCAATTGAGCAATTCAGCATAGTCATTGCATAAATCTTTTAACAAGTAGTCAGACATTGCGAGGAGAGTGTTTGAGTGAAATGGTAGTGTAGGGTATCAAAGTAATTAGTAGACCTGATGAAATACAAAGAAATACAGGTTCTCCGTCATTCTTATGTCAACCAAAATCATGTGAGTGTCAAACGCCCACTGGAAAAGGGTTTGACTAACTTTGGGTTATAGTTTACTGTTGTTATTATTATGATTAGTGTTTTCGGATCGTCGTCCCTTTGTTGGTACTCAGATAGTTGCAATCCTTTTCCTTGCTCTCGTTGGCAAATGAGCTCTGAACAATAGAGCTCGGGTGCTGTTCGAACGGCACAGTTATACGTTTACGCAATTAATTTCAATGCTTAGCTTTAATTAAAATGTAACCATGACCAATTCCGCAGATTTTCAACCGCTAATTTATGTGATAAAGACAGATTGTGAGTCATCGCCGAGCGAACCAGGTTCGAGTAGCGAGAAGTGAGCGTGTCTCTGTTTGACATTGATACACGTTACATCGATCTCACAATTCTCATGAAATATTTTTACAGTTATTGTTTTATTTTTATAGCATTGTACCACTTGAAAATTGTCATTGTTGATTCTGATGCCTTTCAACGTACCTTGGTCCCCACTTGACAGGCTGTGTTTGACGTTTCCGTGACTTTGCACATATATAAAAATGTATCGTGGCGTAAGCAATAAATCATCATCTCATTGTGATATCATATATCAGTCAACGACATTCATTTTAAAAAAAGCATACTATCATTTCAAAGTTATTTTATTTTGATCCGAGACCAAAGAAAAAAGAAAAGTATATAATACATCAGGAGAATATGTCTTTATTCACCCGAGAGTCATTTACAGAAAAAAAAAAAGGGTAAGAAAAGACGGGCTTTTCTTTTTCGTGAATGAAAGACCACATTGAGACTCGCTGTTTTGATGACATAATAACGTCACCGAGTCAACGTTGAAACGGTAGGTTAATGTATTGATGAACTATGAACTTGCTTACATATATCATCTCGTATATTCTAATTTAGGTATAAAGAGAATAAAGCGTAAAAAAAAATAAAGGAAATAGCGTAAAAAAAGAAAAAAGATGGTAATTTGTAAAAAAATTTTCATTTTTTTCTTTGCTTTTTTTTTTGTTTTTGAATAATTTTTGGTTTTTTACATAAAAATATTTTAAAAGAAGATAAAATTTTTCTTAACACAGTTTGTTTCACATATCAAACGCCGATAGTTCATCAGGGCCGCGCCATACTGCTAATAGCACAGCCGCAAACAATAGCGCCAAGAATCGACACCACCTCCAAACCCATCTAAAAATATTTAGCACCGCTCTTGCCCCTCGTTTCCAGAACCAGTCTCTCTTTAACCTCAAGGCTTCCATCTCTTCCTCATAATCCGGATAAACGTATGAAAATTCATCGTCTGATAAGTAATCAATTGCAGACCTGTCGTCAATGTCAATGAACTCTTTGTTTCTCCGATAAAATTCACGAAAATCAGCCTCTGACGCGATTGGTGAAAATAGCGGTGACTCCATTGAATTAGAAGATTTCTTTCGCTCTCTCTTGAATTCAGCCAAGTCGCGGAACCACTCGTCTTCGAGTTCCTCCAACAGAGTACTCTTTTGAAGTCGCGCTGCATGCAGGCCATCCGGATCAGACAGTCGTCTTCCTCCCAGTGTTGCATCCGTAAAACTATTTGCTCTCGTATGTGAGGTTGACTTTATGCCCAGGTAAGCGGTTCTCTCAGTTTCAAGCATCGCCCTGAGTCCAAAAATCTCATTCTCTTTTTCGGCATACTCGCCTTGAAGTTTGTCAAAGTCACTGGATATCTCCTCCAGGTGAGCACACCGTTCGCGGAGAATGTCTATATCCTGTAACGCCTTTCTCAACCGTGAGTCTGATTCTGCTTTTGATTTCTCGAGGGTAATGTTCTGTTCATCGAGCTCGTCGATTCTCTTGTACAGTAATTGTACGTCTTCCTCTTCTTCCGTGGGTTTCTTCCGATCACGTAGTTCTTGTAACTTTTCTTTATATTGTTGTGACATGCGAGCATTATCTGCTTCGAGATCTTCGATCTTTTGGGTTGCTTGCGAATATGCAGCTTGGAGTTTTTCTAATTCACTCTCTAGTTTACGTTGCTTGGATTTATTAAGCTTGTCGGTGTCTTGTGCTTCGATCGACATGCTGTCCAGTTTGGCGTGTAGTTCTGTATTACTGAGTTCCAGCTTGCGTATGATTTCGTATTCTTTTGGTGGCATACCCATTCGCATGGGAGGGTGAGTTGCCAAGATTAGATCAGATTCTTCGCTCAAGTTCGAAGTAACAGAGTCTGCATCGCTTTCATCAGAGTTCATTAGATCGTCTTGGAAGGTTGATCCATTGGGAGGCGGTATTCTGGTTATGCTCGTTTTATCTGCAGTATTCATTGTAGACGATGTGCCTCTTGTTTTTTTTCGCAGTTTCTTTATTTCCTGTACTAGTGCTTCACAATGCTGCTTCAAGAGTGTATTATTATCCAAAAGGCTTTTACCGATTTCGGCTGCCAGCGTGAGATCTGATAGGATTGTGGTTGGGAGAAAAGAAGGGCAAGTTTTAGTCGGATAAACACATGCTATTCAATAACAAGTTAGATAGACATTGTTGGGATTGTTATTATTAAATCTCACGCCGGGATAGTTTGATCATCTTTTGCTTACCTCTGTCTTTCTCTCTGATCTTGGTATAGGCATCTTTCAAAGCGGCGGTAAGCTCTGCATTAGACCTGCTGCTAACCCAGGAACCAGATAATGCGGGAGAAGATAATCCACTATATGTTGGAGAAAGTGGACCGGTTGGAGTTGAAATGGAAGGTATAGTTGACAAGTCAATGGTAAGCTTTGACTTTATGTTTTTTGGAGGAGGAGCCATGATGATGATTAATATTACTGTGAATAATGCTTTATCAATGAATAATAGTCTTGTTGAATTGAAAGAGTTGGGGCAAATGGTGATAAATGGTGCTATCGAGTTGGGTATTATTTGAGTATTTGTTGCTTTGATATTGAACAAGAATTTGTGATTTCGTGATTTGTTTGCTAGGAAAGTGTTGGAAACGTCAAACTATACAAATTTATGTACAAGAGATGTTATCATATCCATCAAGTAAAAAAAAAGTGAAACATTAATGGGTTTGGAGGAGGAATGGGACATCCGCGAACTTTTTACTATTTATTTATATGTCTGTCCTCCCTTCCACTCTAGTGCTACTTCGACTAACCCCTTCCCCTTCGTCGCCCTGCAAAATAGGAGAAATGTTTCTATAAAACCTGTTTGTTAAGTAACAGTATATATTTACAGATGGGAGATTGTAATAGAGTAACGAATAACATGATTTGCGTTATATTGAATACACCGAGTTATACAGATGGTATTACATAATAACAATAGAAATGGAATAATCAGATGGCAATCAATACTTACATAAACTATTTTAAATATAAACGGTTTTAAAGTTGTTTACTGTATAATCTACGTCATACGTATAAATTATTTGAGATACGCCATATTAATATTTGATACGCACAACAGAGTATGTTACTGATGTGCTGATGTGTGTAATCTTTTTGGTAACTATGAAAATTTCTCCTCAAATGTGGCTGCAAATTGAACATCAGTACAAGGCTATTTATGACTTTCATTATATACTTGACTTTAATCGAGAAAGATGCCCATTCCCTTGTGTAAGGAATCTGATGAACAAAAGTTCTGTCCCATCCCCCATTGCTCTTTTTATTTACCAGTAAAGTTCAAGTATTCCGTGAATGCGCGGATTGTAATGATAACGGTTACCGTTACGTTCACTCGCTACGATAACGGCATCTGACGGATTTGCATCTGGTGGATTTGCCTATAACGTCATCTACGTTTAACGGTTTCTTTGAGCATACAGGTTCATAGCGTCATTCTCTCTCACAGCATAAAAAACTATTCTCTTTTCTGCCTTGCTTTTGTATGATATCCAATCAAAGTGGCAATTGGCTTCGCTAATGGCAAACAATTGAGCGTGATTGCAAATGCAAGCAACACGACTCGAACCGTGTGAACGATAAAAAAAAAATTTTAGTGCACATAACCAATTACTCAATGTAGAAACGAGGGGAAAAAAAAAAAGACAGACAAGAAACTGACTGTAATGTAAAATGTAATGTAATCTGGGGTTACCCTACCCTGATGTTAATGTTATCAAACTATCATCACATTAACGGGACCGGTCTTACCTCTTTCATCGATATTAGCGTCATTAAGGAGGTCTCGCACCAAAGGTTGCTGTGTCTCCCGAGTTCACGTTTTTACGTTAACGTTTTATGTATTTCCATGTGGATGTGAGTCGTTGAAGATAAGTGCAAATCCACCAAAGTGGTACACAAATATAACATTTTATTTGTAGTATTATAAAATGTAAATAACCGAACGGATACTACATTACCAGCCCAGACATGTTACCTAACTAGACTCATTTATTGAGCCATCTCCAGTCCACCTGATTCTCCCTTGCATCTTCACACGTTTCTCACTCTCCCTTTAGGAACAAAGTACAGTGTTTTTTGCAATCTATTCGTCCGATAAGAGCGATCAACTCTGATAATACAAATGAAACCTTGCAATATCATTGATGATCAGTGTATGCGCAGAACACTGATTCTATCGAGAACGAAGCAAAATCTCGAATCCCAACAATGCATGTAGCACTCGATTATATATGCGGAATAGAAAAGAAAAAAGAGAGAGAAAGGGAGGAAAGATATATTATTGCGGTCGTGTGCGGTATATAGTCTTTCCGGTCTTCTTTTCTTGTATGTCGCAATATGCAAATTGGTAACTTTACCAGGTTCGACTAACATGTTGCTTTTTTTTTTTAAAACGTTCAGTGTTCTTCAGATGGGTGATTAAAGGGATGGAATAGATATTCTCTTTTATTATGTACCAAGATAATTACCATTTATGTCTTAGTGCGTACAAAATGCACATGAGAATGAGGCACACTGTAAATTATGTAACAACAACTTGAGTAAACAATACACAACAAATCAACAAATACACAGGTAAAGTGATGATATCATTGTAAAATGAAAGAATAGCCGGGATACAAGGAGTGAGCAAAAGTACATTTATATCATCTTATGAGACGAATATGGATATTAGCATAAGAAACGTAGACGTAAAGTGTAAATGGTTATTTATGTTGATGTTATGACCCGTTCTACTATTTCGGGATTGTCACATTAGAATAATAATGTACTGTAATTTATGTGACAACATCGAATTATATATGTGACAATCTTGAAACGGGCTGACCCGTACTTGGAATCGGTCGTAACATTGATATCGATATTTGATTTAATATGAGATTGTCAACATATCTTATCTATCGCTCTAACAGTATCTCGAGCAGCATAGTTCGTATTACGTAGCATAGCCGATAAAGCAGATAGAAAACACCTGCACCTACACAAGCTATTCGAAAGGCTGTACAATATGGCATGTAGGTTATGTGTCTGCGTCTTTCTTTTTCTTCTATATGATTGATTGTATTACTGCAGCATAATCAGCCAATAATATTCATAAAAACGCCATATGTCTGGTCATGCGTCTGACAGTTGACGCCACTATCCTTTTTCGTCGATGCCTTGGTTTTTTTCCCTAATGCCCCCAAAACTGCAAAGGACGAGAGAATGACATGAAAAAAAAATCAGAGTATAAAGTGGTTTCTTGCAGATCCAAAAAGAATTATACAAACAAAGAATAGATATATAGTCACAATGTAACAATGTAACAATGTAAGAATCTAAGAATGTATACAACGTATATATATATGTATGTATATATATGTACTCTTTTTTTCACTCAACCATAAAAAAAATTTTTTTGCGAGAAAAAAAGAAAAAAGAAGAAAGAGAACCAAATCCAACTAAAGCACTAGTGTCGTACATAACAGTGTGGAACTTTCATTGAACCTCTCGTCATTTCACATAACTGGTTGTAAGCTAAGCAATGTAACATATTAAGAAATACAAAGTTTATCGGATAATTACTCAAAACAAAAGGTAAAACTCAAAACGAAACAAAGATATATACTATATTGGCACCAGAGTTTTTTTTTTCTTCTCACCAATGAGGTTCTCGTAATGATGAAATAACCCCCCCCCAGTAAAAAGTATTATTACGCTGACGTCCGTCTTGTTTTCACGCCTTTTCTCCACAGTCATCACCATTGCATTTGGTGGCTTGGACGCATATCCAAGAATTGGGGATTTATTCAATAGAGGACACTTGTAACGGGATTTACGTTCATAGTTTATGCGGGGAAAGGGCGGGACGTAACATGAAATTGGGTAAGCTGAACACGGATGCAATATGTGGATCAACTTAAGCCCTTTGGAGGTGAGAATAGGAAGCAGTAATGGAATGTGTGAATTTGATAAGCTTCTAAAAGTCATATGCTTGATTACGATCCCTAACCTGTATATTTGCCTGATCGGATTAAATAGGAAAGAGAATGAGTGGGGTGATGATGTTAATATTTTGTGTCATAATGGTACGAGTTGACTACGTGTTCCCGTTTGTCTTTAGCGTAACGTTAAAGACGCCACAACGTCATAAAGTTTTTAGAGGCGGAGGGCTTTTATCAATCTTGAATTCAAATTTGTAAACCTAATCAACGAATCAAGAGAATGAATGTCAATTTTGTATTCGAACCAAAACATTTTTTTTTTCCCTTCTTTACTGTATTCATTCCATTGTATCCTCCCGTTTTTTACCATCAAAACAAGGATCTATATCCCATTGTTCGCGTAAACAAAAACCTTAATCTCGAGTAAATACTGCATATACTTACAATGTCGTTCCTTCGTTATTGTCTTAGCAGAGTAGGACAAGTGAGAGAAGGAAAAGTTGCTGATAATACTGCTATTATTCAATGAGCATCGGCTCTATACGTGATGTATTGAAACAATGTCATTATTAACCCGTGGATCAACCAAATTGTCTTTGATTTTCGATCCAAATTTAGTTGGTAAAAACTGGTGTTCCCACCCCTGCTTAGTTTAATTAAAAAACGTCTGGCGAAATGAACTTTGTGTAAATAGTAAACAGTTAATATACCATCACGTGTTAAACATTTTCTCCCCCGCTCTCTTTTTTTTTTTTTAGACGTCAGTCTCCACTTTTGTCTCCTCGTGGGAAAAAAAGAGCAGCTGTTACGATGTCAGAAGTAACAATTTAATATCTTTGATGAATGTTCCGTATATGGTCACGATCCGTTCTTGCTCAGGAGAAGAAACGGATAGAAAACATGAAAGGGAAAGAAAAAGGAAAATAAGAGATGGATAACGAAAGTATTTCGGATCAAAAAAAAAAAAGAGGTGATCAATCGTATCATGTGAAAATTTATGAATAAAACTATCATCTAGTCTTTGCATCTCTGGGTAGTTTTTTGACTAACACATTAAATGATCACCTAACATCTCACTGTTCAATGTTCAGCAGATGACCATTCTTTCATCTATTACCACTGCCTGCCTCTTGATCTGTCTCACCATCACTTTTATCATTATCTGATGTGCTTCCAGCCAGCTTATTGTTCATCGTCCTCGTCATCCCCATCCTCAGTCACGCCAACGTTTCTCAATGCAACTCTGTTCAATACTCTGCTCTGGCTATCCTTACAGACTTTCTAGATGTACCAGACTCGGCAGCAACAGCAGCAGCAGCACTAGATATGCTCACAATGACAGACGCACTGGGAACGCCAGCTATACGTTTGGCGTTTTTCATGGTGTTTGGGAAATGAGCGCCATTCTCGATTTGCATAAGTTCATCATGTGAACCCCGTTCTACTATTTCACACATTTCTTATCACAAGTATCTGATCAACATGGACGATTGTCGGCTAAGGTCGAGAAAATATATGTGAGTATGCTGTATGCAAATAATATATATTTACATGTCAACACGTACCAATTGTTAACGTGTTCTATTGACAGTCATCATTCGTAATGACTTTTTGAAGTGTCGTTTATATCGCAGTAATCGCAACCAATTGTAATCGTTATCATGTGTTTCAATTACCTTTAGCGATTACCTAATGTAGATTTGTATAATGCAAGCAAAATTCCAAATTCAGCGATGCTATGCGAATTGTAAAAGTATTCATTTACATTATACTCCTCCACTCAGCCTCAGACCTCTCTCTCCAACCTTGGTATCATAGCCATTAGGAAGTCCGAGATTTTATCGTGAATTTGGGCTGCTCTCGCTACTTGTCGATCGGTTGCGTGAAATTTACCATACTTGACATTGTATTTTACAGTGTCGCTAAATAGAACGATATCCTATACAGACAGGGGAAAGGTGCTTTTAGAGTGACACATCAATTATAACCTTTTCGCTGTGCTTATAATATATATCGCGTTAAATACCTGAGGTACAATTCCAATACTTTTCCGCAAGTCACGTTGCTTCACGTATCATATATCCTGTCCATCTACGAGAATATGACCACCCTGGACATCAAAGAAACGAAACAGCAGGTGCAAGATAGTCGACTACAAGCAAAGATTTGTTAATTCAAAGGTCAAATGGAGTAAACTATTATCTTGTGTGTGTTATTATTTTGATGCTTGTTACCTACCTTTCCTCCTCCCGATGGTCCAACAATAGCAACACTAGGTATTGTAAATGAAACATTCTTCAAGAGAGGCATTCTGAAAAGCTAACGTTCTCAAACACCACTTCTCCCTTCTTTACCACTAATGGCACAGCCTGTTGTAAATCCTTTACTTCTGGTGGGTTCCTGCGACAAATCCAACATCTTTTCCATGTCTACAAAATTTCTTCTGAAGCAACCTGTAATAATTACCAAACCAATTCAATGGCTGGTACAGTTGAAGTATATATGAGAAGTACATCACTAAGCTCAAACGATGCGACGAGCACAGAGTAGACAGCCGGTAAGAAGACCGATTTGGATAACCCGAGTTTTGAGGAGATACATTGCTATATCCGATTTCTTGTCTGCAGCTTGATACGTCTGTATATCGATCAACTGGAGGTGTTAGGCCAATGAAATGGGTTTACAATAAGCAAAACAGTCAAGAAAGATGCGTTATAAAAACTGATGTGTGGATACAGAGAATGTCTATCTAAATAGAACGAGAGATACAATACATCGCAGAAACGCATGAATGTATGCGCAGGAGAGAATATGACACTGATCCAAGACCTCAACATCCCATTAACTTCAAATGGCACCGCGACATAATATTTGACGGGTTGTAGTTAAAGAGTGAATCGACTATAACAAAATCATCAATTATGTTTCTTCTGTATTTTCACTAGAATACACGGTACTTTGACTATTTTGTCCATCTTCACCTGTATACTAACCAGCCTTAGTCTGCATAGCATTTTTGTCAGCCGTCTATATTTCGTTCTCCATTCAGTCATACATAACTACAGTAGCCACTATATAGCAAGTCATAGTTATGAACACAATAAGACCAAAATATATATCAAAGGCAATAGTCCAATGACGACAGCGATTGCAATATCGACTAGGGTGGGAATAATATTAAGATAGATGGACACAATCGACGATCTGTTTAAGAGCGAATCATAAAGGTTTAACGATAAGATTAGGGTAAAGTAAGAGATTGTCGCAGGACTGGACACTTACCCTGTACGCGAAGTATTTTAATCTGAGCGAAAGATTTAAAAGATGTTCAAACATTTTTGCAGAAACCTCACGGGTAGTAAACTGAGATGGGAGGGGATCAGCATAGCGATTTTATAAATAGAATCACCAACAAGATGCGCACGTAACTGCCCAACGTCAATCCATAAATAAAATTGTAAAGTCTCAATCAATCCAACATTCCCTTGTAGGAACCTCAAACCAACGTAAACTAAAATAGATTCCCATGCAAATACTCTGTCTGATGGCTGGTCAGCTATTACTTTGTTTGGCACGGCAGTGAGGCATTCGCTATTCTTCCAAGGACAAGTAATAGTTAGTACACACCACTACGATTTGAGTTAAAATGTCCAATTTCTTTTGCCATAGAAAATGGCAGTTGTCGTGACGTTACACGTGGAAGAGCGATCGTGTAACCTCCGCGTCTTCCAACGGAGTCAACCGACAGCTCCTACTATAACTAGTGCTAATTCTTCTTAACAGTTGGTGACTTTTAACAGGTTTTGAATGTATCGTATCGTATACGCTATTTCGTTGATATTTATTTAACCCCTCGAGTGATTATTAGGCGATTATGATCCGACGGGAAATCGGTATTCACGATACTAACGCGTGTTTAGACAATTAAATAAATATGCTGAACTGATTATAGTGCAAACTTGGGGCAAGACCAAGTTCGCAACAGAGAGTCCGGAAAGCGGTTTTCAAACTCTCAGATTCGGGCCGTATTCAATAATGAGCCACAGGATTTTAACTGACGACGTATGATATTAAATCACTAGTCAGAGTTTTATTAGAATATAAGAGCTATCCTAGAGGATAGTTTGTTATTCGAAATAAAGGAATTATTCCGTGAAGTATTTAGCTGATATTAGCTGAAGATGTAGATGATGAAAGAAATCGTCGTGTTTGAATAATTATTACTATCGCTTGTCTATTCTATTTATAATCCGTCGGCTTGTCCACTCGATTTGGGCCATGACGCAGAACGGAAATCTCGGAGGCCACGACACAACAGTTTCTTCGATATATTATAATAATCAGCGACTGTTGATGGTGGATCATATTTTGCCATTGATGTTGATTTCGAGTTGTATGGAGTGTCATGTACGTTGTCTGTTGTCATTCCATCGGGAGTTCTAGTTGTACGCACTCTCACAATCTTCTACACTATTCATTCTCTCGTCAATGTTTCATCATCGATGGTGTTGTATCCTATGCCTTCGACCGATCGACTCCAAGCAATAGTCAATGACCATCAGAGTAAAGTTCTGATGCCAGTCATTCGGTACATCATGTCCCGTCCAGTTGTGAAAGTGACGCAAACGATGACATGTTTCTAATGTTTGTATTGCAAATAATATATACCAGAGGCTTTGTACGCAGTAACTTAATCTCACACGTCTTGTAATCTCGTTCGTTGCTATAATACAATTCATAGTCCATGCCAAGGCCGCCGATAGTTCAGAGAGCAGCATGTAGGTGGGAATACCGACTTTTATGTTTCTTTTTTCTGAGAATATAAATACTGAAGGTCATCAATCCAACTAGGATTTGAATCGATTTAACTAGAGATACCGAAAAGTATCGCGTGCTGTATATTGAGACAAAAAAGGAATAAGACAGAATAGGACAGAATAGCGTAAAGCTGTCAACAAATTACCTCGGTACCACTTACAATATTGTATCATATTTCCAACATTACGCGATTAAAAATACTCGAATGTACCGTATAGTCTGGTCGTTGCTAGTTTCCGTTTACTGTCGTATGCCTATAATAATGACATATATATCGTCATATAAATAACCGACACGGTTAAGATCAAGAAAGGCAGTCCGCATAGTTCTAGACTCGAGTGTCCTGCAACTCAGTTTAGGTGACAGTTTCTGTCGTATTGATGGTAAGAAATCGATCACACTATGAGCCCAAGTAAAAGTTTATAAAAAAATGATGAGGGGCAAAAAAAATTACGTCTAATTTTATATGGGTTAGTATCGTTTACTAGATTAATATTATTACACCCATCTTACGAGCCGCCATTGCTTTTCCGCACAAGTAAAATACTAGATGAAAAAAACTATTAAAGGTGTAAGTTAGAGAGGTTGAACAGCGAATAAGTGCCATGTTAGGGGGCTAATGCGCGCGTTTACCTTGCGTCCATTCCATTCCAAACTAGTAATACCTGCCAAGGAGTTTGTGTTGTTTCTCAACCTTACTCCTCAATCTGCCGAGAAATAGAAAAAGAAACGAATTGCTTAAACCGCTTTGCTTCAGTACAAGGGTATCGATTGATTAGCTGGCTATAGAAAACATGATCATTTTCGTAAAGAAAATTTAACACACTATTTAAGTTTAATACAATGATAGGCTTGCAATTCAATTGCAAAAATTACCGAAAAGGAATAACTTCGAAATAAATGTTGGGGAAATTTTGTCGGTGGACATTGGTTTTTTTTTCGTTACACGTAAAATGTGTAGAATGAGTTATCGAAAGTCATTTTATTTCAGAAGAACGAAGTCGTAGTTTAGTGATTGTATACTAATTGACAGCTTGATTCAGGTATTACCGACTAGAGCCAATTCAAATTGACAATGTCTACTGCGCTAAATTTGATGAAGCGTTGACGCTGGTATTACTTGGAAGCACACCAACGAGTTTGACAAAATATTTCACTTCCGACACACACAAGTACAAAAATGACGTTAATTACTTTAGAAGATATCGCAAATAACTTGCGATCGTAACAAATTAGTAATTATATGATAGATATATATATAGTTGATGATGTATGTGGGTTATATTTCGATTTTCATCAACTGCTTTTACTATTACGTTGATACTTGGTACAATCTATAATTTAATGATATGATGCAAATTGAATAACTATAACAAAGTATAACTATATATTACGAATGTGACTATATGAAGAGCGTATGGCCGTATATATTATATTTATCTATCAACAAAGTATTGATGTTAAATCTGACAGAATGCCCTTATTATTATAGTGAAGCATTTATTACAATCACCGTATGGGTATTCTATTTTCCCGCACCGCATTGACTCATACCGGGTATGATAAAGGATTGAGATGCGATTACCCTTTATCATTTACAAATCCTGTAGACGAAAAAGTTAATTATAAGTACTTTTTATTTTGTCAACGCGTCGTATACATGTCGCAATACTTATATTAATAACATAACAGTGCAATATATTTTATTTATTGTTTCCTGACACCAAGTAAACGTTACGTACATTAAAGTTTTACTGATAATAAAATATTGGTCATAATTCTCGAACAACAATTATGGTGATAAAAAATAAGAGGAAGGATTTAATATTAATTCGGGACCTATTCGTCACACGTACCTACTTATTCTATTTTTTGTTTATTACATTAACCTGTTGTGATTATTTTAATTTGTGTCCAATCTACTTTCCTCAGCCATTTGCACTCGATAGCAACAGACATCATCGATAAAGCCACTCTAACCAGAGTGTTGGTGTTATTCTACAAAAGTAAACAATGTAAATAGATTAATTATGTTGTACTTATCAATATCTTGACAATTATGTTGTTTAGAAAATATTCTTTAACAAACAAATTAGTTGCGACGACCGTTTATTAATTAGCTTTCCAATAATTTTATTAATTATTACAAGTCGATTATATTTTGTAGTAATTTCTCTCAGTATTAGTATACTAAATTTGTTTATTTAGAAAAAGTTTCTAATAATGAATATGTGGTGTAGTCGTCGTGAGGGGTCGGTTAAACTCGAAACCGCATCTCTTAGACCCTTTTTGCAAAAATTCACACAAAATTTGCAGTAACTGATATTGGACGTTGTGCGAAATAAAGAACAATTTGACAATAAATAAACGTCGTGAATAAATCAAGGTAAAAAGATGATAAATATCCGCATTGTGAAGAAATTTTACGTGCAATTTAACACAAACATTGATGAATGACATTTGCTAACTTCCTAATTTAAATTATGTCGTTA